GGGGGGGGGACAGGAGAGGCAGCAGCCTGCCAGGAACATGGAAAACAATTGGGGGAACACATTTTGCCCCTTTTTTACCCCCTTGGGGGTCGTGGAAGGAATGCACTCCCCTTATTTTGGGTTTCTTGGTTCAGGGGTTTGGCCTGGGCAGTGAATTGGGGGGGGGCATACTCCCCCTTTTTTTACAAAAGCGCCTCTCATTTATGTTACATTTAAGAACTGGGACATAAGTACATATTCAAAACACCATCCGAGCAAGAAGGAGATCGACTGGCTGGGTCACGTGACCTCACCAAAACCATAGACTCTTCCTGTCTGCGTGTGGAAGCTGTCTACCCCCGGCTGGCTTCCAGGATGTACTGGATGGGAATTGTTCTCTAACGTGGCTCTGTTCTTAAAGGGATGGTGACTCCAACTGAGAAGTTGCGATTTATTGATCATGAGATCCTTTGGATTGTATAAGGAGACTTTGGAGTAGTATTGAGTGGGCAGGCAGTTTTGTTTTTTCCTTTGAGCGAAGGGTTGGACTTGGACCTGCCTGGAACATATAATCAGCCTGCAAAGGATGAGGTTCGTTTCTCCAATAAGCGTATGTTTAAAACAACAGAAGGAAGGATTCTTTTGATCTCAGACAAGCAAGCAACAGTGGGGGGGGGGGGGGAGGGCACTAACGAAACACATAGCTGTAAAGGCATTCTCAATAAATATATCATTCTCAAAAGCCAAGCCTGAATCAGTCATTTACTTTTGTCAGTAATTTAAATGCTAGGACTGAGAAGTAAAAGGTAAAGGTAAAGGTTCCCTTGCTTGAAAGCCAGTCGAGTCCGACTCTAGGGTTGCGGTGCTCATCTCCGTTTCAAAGCCGAAGAGCCAGCGCTGTCCGAAGACATTTCCGTGGTCATGTGGCCGGCATGACTAAACACCAAGGCGCACGGAACGCTGTTACCTTCCCACTGAATTGATACCTATTTATCTACTTGCAATTTCTTGTTTTCGGACTGCTAGGTTGGTAGGAGCTGGAACTAGAGACGGGAGCTCACTCCATCATGCAGCACACTCGGGTCTCGAACTGCTGAACGACCGACCTTCCACAGCCTGCAGTTCAGCGTCTTAACCACTTGAGCCACCACAGCTTCCTTACTGAAGAGACTGGGTTCTAAATTAAAAATATCTGGGGGGGGCTATAAGCGTATAAGGTGATGCCATTGTTTTCTGAAGCCTATAAACATGTTGCAACGATGGAAGTACTCTTTGCTTGGTCAGACAAGCTGATATTGTTATGTTTGAAAGTAACTGTTTAAGAGTAACTAGCGCTTTATAAGTATTGTATAACCTCCAACACTTGGGCTTTTAGTTAGGTTCTTTTTACTTTTCCCCTTAGTTTGTGGATTCCCCCCCCTTCATTTCTGTTGTAGTTTTTAGAAAATGCAAACAAAAAATTTCCCCTACGGGGGGCCAAAAAAAACAACCCACCATCCGAGCAATCAGATATTAAGTAAGTTCGTATGAACCAATTTTCTAGAACCCACACTGTGAGGAACTAAAAAACCTAATAAAGAAAACCAGTTTTCTACAAATTTGAGTATATTTCCATTGCTGGTGGGGGTGTGGCTAAGTTGGGCCAGCAGCATCGCTAAGGTGATCCTACGGGGGTGGCATCCCTGATGGATTAAAGTACCCCGGTCCGGCGCCTACACCTGACAGACACCCACCTGTCTGGTGGTGGTGGGCGATTATGTTTAAAGGCATCAGGGAGGCTGGGCCAGCAGCAGGGCTAAGGCAATCCTGCTGAGCAAACCTTCCCAGCAGCTGTAAGTATCCCACCTCCTCTCCTACACTGGACAGGCAGCTGCCTGTCCAGTGTAGGAGGGGGAGGGGGGAGGAGTATTAGAAGCCACTGTGGAGGCAGGGCTGGCAGGATCACTAAGGTGTTACTGCTGGGGTGGGCTCCCCTATGGCTTTAAGCACCCTGCAACCGCTGCTGCACCTGACAGACAACCGCCTGTTAGGTGTCAGAGGTGGGGGGAATGTGTTGGAAGCCATCAGAGAGGCTGGGCCAGCAGCACCACTAAGGTGATCCTGCTGGGGTGATGTTCCTGATGGATTAAAGTACCCTGATCCT